AACCACACCCTTACTGGCACATCCCCTATTTATACTTTTTTTTTTTTTTTTTATTTTTTTTTCTCCCCCCCCCCCCCCCCTTTTTATTTTGTTCTTTTGTCCCTGTTCTTCTTCAGTCCGCTCCTTCTCTCTAGTTACCACGGGGGATACACTTGTCCAGGAAAGCAGCAGCCTCCAATGAGTCCCCTAATTGATGGATCTGAACCTATAATCTTCCAAACTGGTGCCAGACCTGTTCCTGTCACCTCACAGGATTCTGTTTTCCTCACTAACTTCTTTCTTATTTCAGTAAACTTCTAAAATCTACATTTGAAAGCGTGGTCCCTGTTAGTGAAATATATTATTATTAGCAGACTTTTTGCCTGTGGCCTTGTCTGATATTTTGACAGGACCATTTGTCCTACTTAAAAGAGAGATAGCCTAAGGTCAGAATAGCCGGGTCAGGCTTCACTCAGACATATCAACGCAGTCGTTCAACACTTCCAATAGAGCTACAGTGATAGTCTATATATGCAGTATTTGTTTGCAGCCTTTTTGCAGCCATGGTTACGAATGGACTAAATGATAGGAAACTCACTCGCCGGACATTTAGAGTGGGTCTTGGTTTGTGTGCGTGTGTGTGTGTGTGTGTGTGTGTTTGTATGAATGTATGTGTGTGTTTGGGTCTGGGCTCCTCCATAGGCCATTGTTAAAAGAGTACAAGGCTGTCTTGGTCAATGATTTGCCCTCCTACATGTACGCCAAATGATTGGCCAGACTTGATAGGAACGCAGCTTTTCTAACCAATAAGCTGAGGGCCTGGAGGGGTCCTGCCCCTGGACCAAAATAACCCAGTAAATACATTGCGGGTACTATGAGAACTGGAGCTGACCCACTGGTGAATACTTTGTGTACAAACAAGGGACGCTTGTCAGCTGGGTACTGCTGGAACTGTTCTCCTCTGTTGTGATAGGCTCTAGCAGAGTGACACTTTGATCAAACAAGCTGCTGTACATAACCTTTGTATGAACATATTGTATTTGTGACAACCTGAGGAAATTGAAGACAGTCACACTGAGCTGATCTTGCACTAAGGTTTGTCAAGGAGGAATCACTATAGTGATAGATATGCTGTTGTTTTTGGGTTCCAGAAAAGTAAGTCAGGTACCTGGATTCACAGCATGTCACCTAGTGATGTGCTTACTGAAATGTAAGGATATTCCATGTGGTTTTATTAGTGTAGGCTTCAGAAACTGTGCCACACTGTTTCATCTCAACTGTTATAAATGGCTCTTTTTTTATTTTGAAGAATTAGTGCTTCTTGTATAATCAACTGCAAAAAGCCACAGCTGTGATGTCTCTGTTTAGAGCCGTTTGCATCAACCAGTTGCATCTGCTGTGGCTGTGCACATTTTTTAAAGTACATTCTTTTTTTGTGGCAGTTAAGGATTGTGTTAACTAATACTACGTGGACACAGATTGTCTGCAGCAAAGACTATTGTGCTAATTCCTGTCTTCAGGACTGTGTACAGCCTTTGTATTTTCATCTGTCTTATTGCCATCTTAGCAGTCAGACCTGTGTGTGGGAGTGCAATCAAAGAAGTAAATATGTCATGTTCTGCTCCTGACTTCCCGTTGGAGACTCTTATTTTGAAAAGAGCTTCTGGGTTATCATTATCTCAATCTCCCCACTGGCAGTCAGTGGCTGATTCAGATCACCTGGCTGATTCCATTTACCTGTTTCTTGTTGTCTCCACCCTTCATATACTGCCTTGTTTCTGTGCTCCAGTTGCATCAGCGTTCAGTGCTGTGCATTCCTGTCATCACTTATTACCAAACCTGTGTTCTGCCTGCCTGATCTTTGTCACCAAACCTGTTACCTGCCTGGTTCCACCCATGCCACATCGGCTGCATGAAGTGCCGTCCTGCTATCTCCTGTTACCTGTCCTCCAGACCTGACCCCTTACTACCTGCAATCTGATCCACACCCTGCCTGACCCTGACTCTCCGGCTGCCTAGCACTTGCCACTTGCTGAGCTGCAGTGTTTTTTTGGGGGGTGGGCGGGGGGTTCAGCCATCTGTTCACTGGACCTGTCTTCTGTCTGCTCTGACTCTCTTCCAGTGATACACTTTCTGACGTAAGTCACCTGAGAACTATTGTAGAACTGTCTTAACTGTTTTTTTGGTTTATTTTTTTTTTTTTTTTTTTTGACAGCCTATTTTGGTTGACTTTGGTGTGTGTGTGTGTGTGTGTGTGTGTGTGTGCGCGTGTGCGTTTTTGGAATTCAGTAACTAAGCTCAGTTTTTTTTCTCACGGCGTCTGGGGCCTGCCTTTGGTGTATGGAGTATTTTTTTTTTTTATATTTTCCTCTCTGTGGAGAAGTGTTCTTGTCGACCTGGCCAGCTGTGTTGTTGCAGTCCTCTCCCCCCCTGTGTGGGATTAATTTATCAACCATCTTGAATTTTGCTGTTACTTGTAGTAGAGCTGAAACTGGTCAGTATCTGGAGAGGAGACTGTATTGAGACCTGCGACTCATCAACCTGAGTATATCCTCCCCTGACGACCCAGAGACGGTTCCTCAGTCTTACCTGCATACCGTAGCCTTTTTCAGTTTTTGCAGCTCTGCCCCTTCTTGTAAACCTCTTTTACTCTTTTCAGTGTCTGCTGAGTCGTACGTTTTGGTCAAATGTTCTTGTGGTGGGGGGGAATCCTGACAAAATGCTGATATATCACCTTGTAGTCCAGGGAAAAAAAACAAAAACCACACAGACCAAATAAGGAATTGCTTTCAGGGTTTGTGTATTTATGCATGCACATTTTTGTGCATTATTATAAACAAATGCTGTGCACTGCCATCAGAAAGACTGAAGGAGGAGGTACACTTTAGAGCGAGAGAGAGAGAGAGGAGTTTGCTGGAGACAGGGCTCTCCTTGTTGTTGTGCCAGACTACAGCATTCAGTCTAATTTAGGGGAAGAGGAGGAGAGTGGGAGGAGAAGTAATAGGAAGCTGAGCTGGTGGTTAGAGAGAGGGAGGAAGGTGACTAATAGAAGCTGTCACCCAGCCTCCTGTAAGTCGGCTGGTTGAGGGAGGAGTGGCCTCACAACCAGTGAACCTGTATATGTATGCACTGCTTGATCTAGCCCAGCCAGCAAACAAGTGTCTGTCCCTGTCCGTGAGTGTGCGTATTAACACATGGAGTAGCAGATATTTCTTGGATACACAATGTTGTCTTTGGGATAGTTGGAGAGTTGCTGGTAAGAGTCCAAGTTCATATGTACTATACTAGACAACATGTATTACTGTAGATGTAACACCGTCAGTCTGAGCTGCATTCATGCTGGTTTGCAGTTGAATCAGAGATGGAACAATTTTGAGCAGAATTTGTTTAAAGTGTTTTGGTATATGGCATATGCAGCAGCAAAACAAGCATTGGTTAAACTTGCTGTTGATATTGAGTTTGACCTTTCAAACACAGAAATGGGAACTATAGTCATTACTGCACTGTTTAGCAATGCATGATTAGTTACAGTACGTGCAGCTAAGTGGAGGCAGAATGCCAGCAAGATGGTACTGAATGTGTGGCCGTTTGATAGGGAGACGGTGGAAGTTACTACATGAAATACAACAGTACATTTGTATGCTAAAAGATGCCAATCTAAGAAATGATGGTAAACTGGGGTCAGTGTTGAGACCTTTTGTTTAGAAGGCTGTCTTGGGGGATAAGTTACTATCCTGTGCTTTGACTAGATGTATTTCTCAAGGTCTGAGTATGCATGTGTTGCTACACATTCTATATACAACTTGTCTAACCAGTTTGATTAGCTTGAAAAAGCCTTACTAATTATACAAGTACTTTTATTTTTCCTAAGATTTGTTCTTAAAGCGTGCCTCAGTCCTGGACATTGTGGGATGACAAACAGCTTTGGTTTTTTTTCCCTCAGTTGCCTGCACAGGAAGTTGCTTCATTGCTAGCAAATCTAGGAGTTGTGAAAACTAATGGATGGAAAGGGGAAGTGATGCATTGTGGTTATTATTGATGATGCTAGTCCATTGTCTCTCCTGTATCTCATTGTGTTCTATTTTGATTAGACAAGGCTGGAAGTTGAACTGCTATCTTATTGCTGACCTTTGCTAGTTTTACACCACTCTCAGTGACCTGAGGAAATCAGAACTGAGTTGAAAGGTTCACAGTGAGCGAGGGCCCCTCTTGGTCAGCTCTTTGTTAGACTATGCTTTGAAGGTGCCAGGCATTGTGATTCACATACAGAGCTAATGAGTTATACTGACTCATTCAGATGACCTTCAGAAAGTCGGTTAGTTAACTGAAATGCATGTTGATGGTAAATCCTGTCAAAGCATTTTTTGAGATCTTGCATTGAAGTTCCTATCCAGTGTAGGTTCATTTACAATCTAAGGACAGTGGCCTTTTTACAGCAGTAGTCTTCTCAACCTAAATGATGGGAACAAAAAAGAAGATGCAGTGTTTTGAATATTTCACTTAAGTATACTTCAGTTTGTATTATAGAATCTTCATAATAACACGTACCTCTACTCATGTGAAACATGGAGGTGTTAAAGCATGTCAGAGTGCAGAATTGACACCATGATGGCCAGAACCAGCTGCAACACAGATGCAGCGATTTGCCATGTCAAAAAAAAAAAGAACTGAACAATTGAATCAAAGATGATGTCTTCAGCAGAACGGCACAATTAAACCTCAGAACAATTGTGAATGGCCTCTCACTATGTGTTTATGCTTGCGTCTAACCATGGTCTGTTGCTTCTGCTACGGAACGCCTTTAGTGTGTGTGGCACACCTGCTGTTTTCCCCCCTCTTGAACACACCACTGCCTCTTGTGCTGCTTATCCACCATTATCATAGTAACATTGTTACAGCTGTTTATTCCAACTGTCCATTTTTGAATATTTACATTTTATAACCAGTTGTCTTTTTGTTTTTTCCTTTACCACATTATCGCCTCTCTTCATCCCTCTCTGCCCCATGACCTTCCCATACAGGTCACCATCCACTTTGTCCAGCGTCCAGACATGTAACCGGCAGCATAAGCACAACGTATTCCTCTCTGTGAACTCTTTTCTTTCCCTCACAAACAGGTAATTTTGTGTGTGTGTGTGTGTGTGTGTGTGTGTGTGTGTGTGTATTTGTCTTTCTGTATATGCTACTTTTGTGGGGTTTTTTGGCCCTTTTTGCATTAACATAGCAGACAATCCTGACTTGTATACTGTAGAAATGTGAACAGTTCCTTCTAGGATCTTGAAGTGGCCAATTTTGCATGCATATACAGTCCCTCTATGCCATAACTAGTGTCAGTTGTAATTATTAGTAAGGTACAATTAGGAAGGTTTTTAATATCTAACGCAGAAACATGAACCAACAGAATACCAGCCCTGAGTGTTTGAACATGATGTCACTGTCCGTCCATGTGCCAGTCTGTCTGCTTGTGTATGCTGAAAAGTTCATGTTCGGTCGCTAACGGATACAGCTGTTTGCATGTGGGTGAGACCAAAGAAGAAGGGGTAAGGGCCCCATATTTGCCATGCCAGCCCTGTCACATAATCCTACCAGCCTTTCTGGAGTGTGTGCAGTGGTTGAAGAATATTGATGGTGTAGGTCTGCTCACATATTCTGAAAGAGTCTACCCAAAATCCATCAAACTCTGTAGAGCATTAATGCATAGGCACACTTACCCTTTATGTACATGGCCCCCTCTCACCCCCGCCTACTCACAAACACACATGGATAGATGCACAAAGATATCACATGCACATAAACAAAACAAAAAAAAAGCAAAACACCATGGCCCAGGGGAACAGTGTGTTCCTGAAAAGGAGAACAGAGAGCAAGGGTTGAGGTTATTTTAGTCATTAGAGCAAGCAGACAGCTTAATGCGGAAAGGAGGTGTGTTTGTGCAGTGATGGAAAGACTAAAGTGCACAGTTTGGAATATTTTTGATATTAACAGGAAGCTGTTAAATTGGAAGCTTATGGTCAAAGTTTCCTTAAGTATCAATAATTTTTTTTTGCCATGTCATGAGTGAAACTGAATAGCTCTTGTACCGTTTGTCACAGTAGGGCATATTCAGGTGTTTCTGCAACCCCGAGGGATGCTTTTCCTGCTCTTACTACCTGTGCACAACAGCTGTGATCTTGATGCAGAATGTTTTTTTGCAACTGTTTTACAGCCCTTTTAAATAAAGCTGCAAAATGTTTGAGTTTTATGGCTACATACATGTAAATGCACACATTTTTGTTTGAGGGCATCAGAGTATGTGTGTACTGTATGTGCACATACCACATTTAACTGGTGGCTGTCAAAAAGGCCTTCCTTGGCATTGCACTGTCACTTCTAAAAATACATGCTCCACAAATTAACACCGTGTCTCTGAGCACAGGTGCCCATGGCCCCGCACTGTCCCCAAGTGTGCTTGTATGTGTTGGCCTTTGCTCATACATGTATAGGAGATCATTAAAGCTGTCAGTGCATTGTGCACCGAATGTTTAATGTGTAAAATGTACTGCAAATATATTTGTGTGTTGTGTGCATGTTCTTGGCATGCAAATTTGACTAATCAGTGGCACAATCTGTAACTGACCTCATGACCCAGGCTTCCTCCGCGCTGCATTCTCCCACTGGTTGTCAGTGTTTAAAGTGAAAGGGCTGTGACATCACAGCATCAGACACACAATGGCCACTGTGTGCTTCTACCGCGTCATAGACGCCTGCTTACCCCAGTAGATGCCAGGCAATGGGAAGGCCCATGTGTGAAATCACATTGCCTGGTGGCAGTGTGTCACCATACAGCTTTAGGAAGTGATATCCTGTGTGGGTGTGTCAGTGTGGGTGTGTATGTGTTAAGGTGTCAAGGTGTCTACATACTACGTGTCATTACATGCGCAGCCCACAACATAAATGCATTCATACTCGCGGCACTAGGAATTGTCACTGTGGAGGGAATGAAGTTCTGGATGATGAGGAGGAGTTGTACTTGTGGTATTTACTGTAAACCAGAGAACGAAGATGATACTTTGACCTCTAAACTCGTGAAACCAAGGTGATGAAGTGCACACAGTATGTCTATTTGTTTAGGTGTAGCACTGAGGTCACATACTACAGAGCCAATCACGAGTAAGGAGAGTTAAAATGACTGGCTTGTAGACCTGCTGCATTCTGTGGGGTACAGGGTTTGTGGTGATCCTTGTATGACCAGAGTGAGAGGTATGTCTGTATATTCAGAATGAAATTGGGAAATTTCCCAGTGGGTGTTGATCTTGTGATTGTCATGGACAGCATCTCAAGGTGTAGCTGGGGGGAGAAATGTGTCCAGTTTGGGGACTTTCAGAATCACTTCTCTGCTTTTTGCAGATGATGTGGTTCTTTTGGTTTCATCAGACTGTGACCTTCAGCATACATTAGGGCAGTTTGCAGCTGAGCTTGAAATGGTTGGAATGAGAATCAGCACCTAAGTCTGAGGCCATGGTTTTGTTGAAAAACAGTGGATTGCTCCCTTTGGGTTGAAATTGGGTTCCTTGTTTATTAATGAGGGCAAAGTGGAATGAAATTGACAGGTGGATTGGTGCAGATTCAGTAGTAATGAGTGTGTTGTACTGGACCACTTAGATGAAGAAAGAGCGAGGCCAGAAGGCAGAACAAGATTGTTAATAAAGTGGCCGAAAGGAGTTGTCCTCTGTGGCGTGGCTGGACTTGGCCTTGGAGATACGACAGAGTTTGGACATCTGGAGGGAACTCGAAAATAGAGCCACTGTTCCTTTGAATCAAAAGGTAGTGCTGTAAGAAGTACTCGGATTGGTTACTTAAATATAAGCAATAATACAGTGTAAAAAATACTGTTGCAAGTAAGTCTTGTATCCAAAATGGTTTAAGTATTGGCATAAAGTACCCATTATGCAAAATGGCACAGTTTACATTGATGTACATTTAATGTTGCAGCTGGTAAAGATAGAGATGGTATTAACTACCTTACATGCTAATAATTTGAATTACTACTGGGTAGCTTGTGACTCTTGCACTAAGGATCAATATCTTATGAATGTACTGTTTTAGCAACCTCATCCAAAAAAGTTAATTTGATCACAAATATAGCAAGTACAATATTTTTCTCCAAAATGTAGACAAGACCAGGTAAATGAAAATACTCAAATACAGATGTCAATTGTATACTTAGTTACTTTCCACCTCTGTAAAAACGGAACCATCTGAGGTGGTTTGGGCATGGTGATTAAAATGTTTCATGGGAACCTTCCAGGTTTTTTTTTAAAATTTCTTCTGGTACATGTGTAGCTGGTAGACCAAGAATATATTGGAGGGGCCATACAGTATACCTTATCTGGCCTGGTTATGTCTCAGGGTCCCCAAGGAGGAGCTCCGAAACATTGCTGGGTAGAGGGACATCTGGACCACCCTACTGCCTGTGTTGGCTGTGCTCTCTTTGGATGTCTAGTTTAATTTATTTATATATAGATGGAGCTAAAATTTGCCTCAAAGGGTTTCACAGTCCGTACTCCCGAATCATAGAGTACATCCCTGGCTGGCATTTCTAACTTGCCAAGTGAGTTCGGAGACGTAATCACCCCATTTGTCAGACTATAAATAAACTGTGCAGCATTCCACCAGTGTGTGTACTGTATGTGTGCACACACTTGTTTGTCTAAATGTTAAGCACCTTCAAAGTGACAGTTGCTACACATGGGCCTTCCTCTAAATTTCCAGATGTAAACAGCTGCTATACAAATTGTTCTGCCAGCACCAACAGTTATGAGTGTTAGAGGGATGCACTGTTGTGGTTAGTTTGTGTACTTTTTCTTTATGGAGATGAGTATTTCAGTTTGGGTAGTGTGAAGTCAGCCTTTCCATCAGTCCAGGTTGTGGTACATGTTTGTGTTTTTGAATGTGTAGCTCTGCATGGGTGTGAGCTATCCAATGGGCACAAAGCAGGCAGTGTGTGTGCCCCTTCGGGTACTGAAATGTACACTTCGGACAACAGGCAGCTTCAGTCCTTCTCAATAGGAGCTGCCCTTCTTATTGTACCTCAAGCACAATGAGCTTTTCTCTCCTGTGTCCTTCTGTGTTTTTGTCTTTATGACCATATACAGACAGTGTTTCTGATAAGAGATTGGAGGAATCTGATTCTGATTGATGTTACTGCTTTTCTGCATCCCATCTCCCTACACATCACACATATTAGAATAGGAGTTAGGTTCTCCATCTCACCTTTTGTGAGTCCAGACTAGCTTAGTCATGCAGGGAATAAATACAAGTCATTGCAAAACGGGAACTATCAGTCTGGGAGTCCCCACTGAGTGTGTGTGTGTGTGTGTGTGTGTGTGTGTGTTTGTGACAGTGTATGCATGAGGGTGTATATGTGGGAGAAAAGAGGAGATGTTGTAAAGGATAGTGGTTCCCCATGGTCTTTTTGTTCACATGATCACCAAGGGACAACAAGACCACATGACACCCACACGACCAAAGCTCTCTTGAATGTCTCTTTTTGGAGAAACAGAACTGGGGCAAGAGATTATTGCTGCTAACCAACTTCCTCCCAGTGTCCTATTTCAGAGTTGATATGCCACCACTTATTGGATGAAGTCAGAATGACACAGGGAGTGTGCCTGGAAATGCTGTTTGTTTTGCTTTAGGTGCTGAACGTGTGTGCACAACAGGGCTCTGGGCCAAACTGTTCGGTCAATCATTATTTAGCAAAGTGGTAATTTAGAACTAAATTATTTGTTACTGTGATTTGTTATTGACCATGTGATTATTTATCACTATTAGAATGTATTTCTTTTCTTGTCTGTCCTTTGTGTTCCACTCTGTACTTGGCTTGAAGAAGATAAAAGTTATGGCTCATAATGTATAAACGTGCGTTTCAGTTTGTGAAGCTGAATTTATATAAAGGACCATTCAAATATGAGAGTGCTGTGAGATTTTTGTAATATCTCTTAAATCTAATTCACAAGTGCTTGACTGCATAATAGATCTATAATTAGAATGCTGGAGCCAATCTTTAACCTTTCATTAGTGGGTATATGACATAACTAAGTACTCTATTTTCCTAAGACAAAGTTCTTGCTATGTATTGGAAAGGGCATTAAATGCCGATGCATTTCAGAGGCTCAGCTTTTGCTCATTTACTAAAAGTATTTTGTACATCACTGATGCCTGAACATGCAGCATGATCAGTTTTATGTTTATGTACAAGACAGACATCACATGAGGAAAACTGTAGCACTGAATGCTCTAAGGCATTTAAAGACATCTAATCACTTGGTAAATTAGGAATATGGCAGCCTGTTTTGAACAACTTGTAAAAAGTTGGAAGGAACAGTGAGTGCCTGTATAGTAATGTATCCAGCCTACCCAGTGGAGTGGCACCAGTGGGCAAAGTCCAAGGTCATGGAGTTAATAGAGCTGTTAGCCTAGCTCAAGCTAATGTCTTCCAACTACTACAAAGCTTTCTTCTTAATAGGTTGAACTGAATCTTGTGTATTTAAAATGTATAAACATGAAAGACAGGTTGTAGAAGCAGAACTGTGGACTGATGAATATCTAGTCTTTGAGATGACTCTATAGCCCTTTCCAGCTACAAATCAGCAACTCTTGATCGTAGGTTTTCTGAGATCTCTTTTGCAAGGCCTGGCTCACATCAGCTGATGCTGCTTGTAAATAGCACACTGACTGTTTGTTTCTATAAGTCTAGGTAGTTCTAAACCACACCTCTATTCTTGTTTCATAGATTGAACTCCAGGTTTACACCTGACTCCAGTTGATGTTTAGTGACATCACAAGCCTGGTGTTGACATTACTTTTTCCACCATCATTTTGTGTATATTTAATGGGTGTGTTCAATAAAGACATAAAACATGACTGTTTGCGTTTATCATCTTAGAAATATTTTGTGTTGATATTTGTGACTTCAGTGAAGATCAGATCACTTTTTATGACCAATTTATGCAGAAAACTAGGAAACTGCAGATAGTGCCATTACTTACATTGTTTATGTAGTAATGTGATGTGGGTTTCACAGCTTTTAACCGAAGTTATCTGACCTTTGAGTGTACCGCAATTAACATAAACCTACAGTATGTTGTCTTTTTATGGTTGAACTGGGGAAGGTAAGGGCCAAACTACTTTTACAGTCCATTTCACTGCTAAAAGTATATCACAACATTGCACACTTCCACTCTCACAGCTCTAGTCTGACATTGAATGAGGCTCAGTTGAGGTGGAAGTGTTTACACACTGAGTTTGCTTGTTATATATTATTGTTTTGGAGCTACTGCAGATCTCTGTTGGAGAATATTACTTTTTGCAGCTATCATAGCTAATGTTACCTGCAGTTCTATTTTCTTTCCTTGTTTTCACCTTGTTTTTTCTCTTTAATTCCCTTCTTCCTCTTTCCAAAGTCATTTTTTTTTCTTCATCCTGTTCTTCCACAGCTTCCTCTACCTCTCGGGCTGGACTGTGGTGCATTGACGTCGGCTCGCCCTCCCCTGCCCCCTTGCCCTCCAGCAATGGCCTCACGCATTGGGCTGCGAATGCAGGTACAACGGAGCTACCTTCCACCATCTAGTATAAAGTTAATGCAAGAAGAACCAAATGCAACATCACTCATCACAGTCAGTTTATAGGTCCAAATGTTTTAACATTCCTGTGGCGTGTGTGTCCAGCTAATGCGAGACCAGCTGCAGCAAGAGGAGCAGCGTGAGCGGCAACAGCAGCAGCAGAATGCAGCCTTACAGTACATGCAGCAACGTATGGCTGGGCCACCTGCACCCACCCCAGCTATCAGCACCCCACAGCATTACCAAAACATGCAGGTTCCTGTGGAGGTTCTTAAGGTCAGTGGGGAATCAACTGACCTTAAGAACTGATTCTTTTCATCATTACATAATCTCTCTGTTGTTGTTTTCAACTGATTTCTTATGTAAAGCATTGCTCAGTTAGCCAATAAAATCTTGCGACATTGCATTTTTCAGAGGCCAGGATGATATCTTTAGAGACATCAAGCTATTGAATTTAGAGTGAAATGAAAACAGAAAAATGCAGCAAAGACGTAGTTTTGAGAAGCGGGAAACAGTGGATTGAGTATGTGCATTTTGTCATGAGTGATGCATAATCTGAAGGTTGGAAATGGAGGTATTTGGGCAGGAAAAGGAAAAAATGTGTATGTACATAGAACCCGCTCCATCCATCTACCTAGTATCTCTTTTTTAAGACTTGGCCTGGACCAACATACAGTCTGTGGTAGTAAAATAATGAGTGAAGTAAAACCTCTGTCACTCACTTCAAGTCCAAATGCAAATGCACCACAAAGACAGACTGCTAAGCAGTTCTCTTTGAGGAGATTGGAAGAAGAGAGAAAAGATTTAAGTGGGGTTCCAAAAGGACATTGGGTGCCAACACTTCTGTTAATCCACTCACATGTTGGTTAGGAGACAGCAGAGACTTCACTGGGTGACTAGGCCTCTCACACAGCAGCACCGCCACACAGTAAAATCAGGAACACATTTGTAAACGACAGAAAAATGTACTTGAGCAGCAGGGAGACAGAAGGGGGAAACAGCCATAAGATAAGAGAGGCTGGACATGCTTTGTGATAGGACAGACAGGAGCGATGTAGATAGTCTGAGTCTGACAGGGACAGATAAAGCTAAAGTGACATTTTGCCTGATTCCAAAGATGCCTGTGTGTGTGTCCTTATCTTTGATGGTGTGTTTATGCAAAACACCATTATGTGCACGTCTTTTTTGCATAATTTTGTAAATCTGTGGAGTTTGCATGCAGTGCTTACTTGTTGTATTGACAGTTTACTCTGTGTGCATGCATGTGTTTGTGTGGAACTGTGTTTATGAAATACCGGTATTTAGAGTTGTCAGTATTTTCTTTCTTGTTGTAAATAAGATGGGTTGTCTATCCATCAGGCCCACTGAGCCTGTCATACTAAAAAAAAAAAAAAAAACCCACATGCATAGTGGGAGGGAGTGGGAACATTTATTTACTATCAAATTTCTGGTTCATTTGATACAATCTGGCAGTTAGTTATAGAACAGAGTAGAGGTTGGAGGGTCTTCTCGGTGGTAATGGGGTGTAGGTCTGCTCTCTACTGAGCTTTACTCTTTGATGTGAAGGAATGAGGCTAGCCCATTACACCAGAGGGGTTTAGTGTGGCTTTATCCCACTAGGCAGTACTACTTACTTACTGCTCTTATGTCTTAGTGCATTTCTTTGTTATGGGACAGGGATAGTAAGGTGTACATCTGAAGCATTGTGGTATGTGTTTAAATGTCATGCTGAGCTAATTAGCTTGTAAAACATGCTAAATGTTTATGTATAACTTATTGTGTAATTGTGATTGCAGCCCTGTGTGTACAGGGATGGGAAGTATTGTTGTTTGAGCTTGAGATGCTAAAATCTATGCATGTAGCTTGTAAATTATATATACATTTATATAATTACTCTATATGCTAAAAATAGACTGGAGTCTATAAGTGTGACAGGCGAAGTGTACTGTTAATACAGTTTTTTTTTTTTTTGCTTCTAAAATTTTTAAACTCCTAATTTACATTAGTTTTAGCTCAGTTATCAAGTCTCTGTGATACTGTTACTGTATATGGTATGAGTCCTTAATCATTTGGGATAAATCAGTTTAGGTTTAAATTCAACAGATTACTGCTAGAAATCTTGTACATCTTATATTTCCACCAAACAATTTATCAACAAGTAATCATTAACAGGAAAGAGTTGGATCAGTGTATAAAATTATTAACTGAATAAGAGTTAACATCACTTTACTGTCTGTTTCTAATACAGGTACAGACCCACCTTGAGAATCCTACAGACTACCACATCCGCCAGTCTCGGAGGCAACAGGTGAAAGAATATCTGTCTACCACCTGTGCCACCAAACAGGTAACTGTCTGGGATGTATTTACTTTGTTAGTCTGTCTTTCACCTAGCTCAACACCTGTATATATGGTGTGTCTTTCTATTTTCTCGTTTGTCCAGCAGTCCTCATAGTATTGTGATATAGTGATCTGGGGGGTAGTGGGGTACAGTGGTCTGTCTCAGTATTCATTAGCTTCATTATTTCCTGCTCTTTCTGTGTCTCTAGATGGTACATGCTGTAGCAGGGCTGATTCCACCCTCTCCTCCCACAAACATGGGACCCACGGGAGGTTCTGCCCCCCAACCCCTCCACTCCCCGCACATGCGCACCGAGCAGCTCATGTCTGGAAACAGCGCCCCCAACAGCCCCATGGCCATGCTCAACATTGGCTCCAGCCACGAGAAGGAGGTAGATGCGTGCAAGTGTGGGCAGGCAGAGACATAAACATTTATCCCTAACCATTTTATAAAGTACAATTTACAAGCAGCAACAAACGGAGCAAATATTTTTACAATATGACTTAATTACACGTCTATATAAAATTATGAGGATTGATTATTACCTGCAAAGTGACATTATCTCCACATCTTATGAAAGCATAATGATTTGATTGGTCTTCGGTAGGCTGGAGCAGCATTTGCACTGTGAATGCACTGGTGTTATAGTAGGTGTGTAGATGATGTATCAACTAACTGACACTGGTTATCATTGGAGTTTAATTACTCCATTATGGCTTTGTAAGAGTAATTACAGCTTAACGAGTGGTAGGGAAACTGAAGGGCCCTTTGTACCTGGCAGACTTTGGCCCGCTCTCTTTCTCCAACTCTGGACCACTCTTCTTTCTGTGTCTCAGCAAAACATGCTTTACCAGTTAGCCTCCATGACATAGAAGTCATCATTTCTCTTGACCTGCAAACAAGTTCTTTACCTGATGTCTTAGATGCCATCAATTTTCAGGTGCTTTAATAACTGTACAAGTAGTAACGATATGTTCAGTGTGTTGTCTGCTTAACATTACAATAGGAATCAGAGTGTAACCTCAGTTTGAAAGTTTTGAAAGTTGACTTTATAGTTCCTTAAGCTTTTCTTAATTACATTACAGTTAAAACTTTTCCCTGCTTATTTTTCAGATGGATGAGGTCATCGATAACATTATCGGCCTGCAGTCCAGTTTTGATGAAATTCAGTCATACGTTGACCCTGTCCAGATGCCAAATACAGTAAGTAGAGCCCACATAGGAGAGATAGTAAGGTGTGCTTGTTGGAGCACTTCAGTTTTATTGCCTTTTATGTGACTAATGTACTTTGCATCCATCTGGGTTCTTTTTCTGTCATATGTTTTTATTTGATTATCACCAATGACTTGCTATAGTAGATGTTTTTATTTTTTTTGTACAAAATAAAATAAAAAAGTATATGTTTGGTAAAGTTTTTTTGAAATTGTATTCATATGGCAGGGTCTAGTACAAATTCTGTGCATAATATGCCATAAATACTATATGGATGAGGTTTGCACACAACACTGGAATTCTTAAAAGTTGTAATAACTGACTATGTAGCTCTCTGAAACCCTCCTCCACTTCAGGACTTATTTTGAGCCTGACTTGACCTGAATGACTCAATGTGTTGCCAAGTCATCACTACTCAGACTTTGGCTTTTGGGTAGTTCCTGTAACCACTGCTGCTGCACATTCAGGGCGTATAATTGATTTAAACACTAAAATTTCACCCATAAATTATGTTGAGCATAGTTACAAACTGTAGGAAGGGCAATGTTAGGGAAGGACTGCACAGTTCCTTGTGTTTGAGCGAACAAACTCAGAGCATTAACAATTAAACTACTAGGAGTTACAGTTCAACTTGTTTACAAGACATTCAGAGGGAGCAAGAGGTAGAGAGGGAGAGGAGGGAGGAAAAGACGGGAGGAGGGAAAGGGGGATGAGGGCAATTTGTGCAAGGGGAAAACAGGCTGAAAGTCCAGTTAGGGGAAAGTTCACTCTTGTTTGGTGGGGAGCAGAGGTAGAAGAAAGACTGGATCAGTGCTGCAGAGGTCATTCTCCCAGGACAGGGGCGGCAGTACCAGAGAAAGCTGCTTTTGCCTGAGAGAGAAGAAGAGATTGTTCCAGACAAGTGAGACAAGCAGCTGAGGATGAGGGAGATGAATAAAACCTATGCCATTGTGGAAGTTATTGAAGGAGAACAGATTCAGCTGGTAAGACACTGAAGCATTGTTGTTTTTGACTGTTTGGTTGGTGTTATAGGAGTTGGCTTTTTTTTTTATTATTTATTTTTTGGAATAAACCACAGTTTGGACTGATACTAACTCCCAACCTTGAGTCCCTGATTATAAGATGACCACAGCAGACATGGCTAGGTGGGGGGAGTTAAATTTTATATATATATAGTGTATTGCAGCTATAGTGCACCACTGATTACATACAATCCAGTTTTACCTGGATTTGAGTTGATGCTGAGCATCATGTTGGGGTTCACCGTGCATTTGGAGCAGGCATAGTTTGCTGCAGGCTGCTTCCCAGATCTCTGTGTGTGTGTGTGTGTGTGTGTGTGTGTGAGAAAGAAAGAAACCCAGTCTCCTGTAGCTTTATCTAATGGTATGTTTTCAGTATTTGATTGGTTTAATCACTGTACATGCATATTTTTGTATGCCTGTGTATATATATAATATCATAGTGAATGATTAGATTGTGATTGATCAACCCTGAGGATGATCAGTGTTTGTCAAGCTAGTACTGTAAATGAACTGAAAGAAACTCAATGCACAGATCAATAAGTTAACGATGCTTCTATTTCAGAACATATCACCGATGCTGTAAAGTTTGTTTGCTTGGAGTGTTTCTGCATTAGAATTTCACCAGAAACTAAAATTCCAGTTTTGTTCCTGACTGTCAGACCAGTGAGTAAAACTCACCTGCTAATCCTAATGGAGATTAAAGTGGCAAACTCTTGTGGAATTCTTGGAATTGCAAAGTTTAGTCAGCGCCGGGAACACCACCGAATACCAGGCGCGAGTGAACGGTGTGTGTATGTACTATATGGATGGTTGCGCTGAGCCATAATGAGTCCCAGTCATGTTTGCATGCTCAGTTGAGTTGCATGAGTTCTTAGTAGAGGGCTGCCTGTAGAAGTATGGTGGTGGCTGGGTAATAGGTTTTTTTGTTTGTTTGTTTTATATCATCAGCGGAAAACTTGAAACAGCCGTGACAGAGTGAAGCATTAAATCCGTTTTGGATTTTGTCACTTATCGTGATGCAAAGATTTATTTTTAATATTCTTTTAGAGAACTGAGAACTGATTATTTAAATTTGTCACCTGAAAATCAGAACATCATTTCCTCCATTCTCCAGAGGGATTTTCACTTCATCTCCACATTCTTTAGATCTTTGGTGAGATTTTAAACACACCATTTACACACAGAGCCAACATGCAAAGGTCTGTGTGTACAGCAGTTTATGTAAGTGAATTTGTTTAATCACAGCTCACACAGTAGCCAGCTGATAAGGCATCTTTTCCTTTGAGTTCTTTATCTTTCAGGCCTCATTAGCAGTGTCACTGTTGCCCTTGCTTCAGGGCGTACGACAGGTTTGGTAACAAGGCATAAAAAATCCATTGCCCTCATTAAACCACACAATTAAAATGAAATCACATCTTTTTAGGAGTCTATACAAAACTTAATCACCGCAGTTACACAATGTCTAAAGTGCAAGAGTTTGGGGAACCTCTCCGCAAGTGTTCAGGAGATGGAGAAGGCAGAAGAGAGGATCCAGCCATAAAGATAGATAAGACGGATAGGATGATAGTCAATAATTACTGTGTGTTTGGCAGGCTGATCTCAGGTGTGATATTATTGCATTATCTCCTGCTATCGGCTCTTTACAGCACACTAAACATGAACACTGACTTTTTAAAGCTACTCACAAGGTGTATGAAGCTGTAAATGAAGTGTCAAGGAAACACACGAATAATCCAGATCCACACCAGTTTGACTGGTGACATGTTAAGTTGCCTTTGTGCTCTCCTTTTTTTCCCCCTACATTAATCAAGATGCATGTGTAGAATATTTTCTAAATGTGTCTGTTTGCATGTGTGTCTCCCCAGCTCCCTCTGTCTAGCAGTCACCTGGATGTGTATGCAGGTCCTGGGATGAAGGCGCCAGCCATTGCTATGACCAGTAACTCCTGCCCTGCCAACCTAACCATCAAACGAGAACTGTCAGGTGCAAAAATCAAAGCTGTTCACACTACAGTAACATTACGATGGCTCTCTAAACTTGGTCAAGCTATTAAAAAGTTTCTAAGTTGTATAGAATAGTGTTTGCCATAGAGCGACCATTTGCTTCCATCTTGTCCTGTAATTTATGTTTTGCCATTTGTTGACATCACTAAAAACTGCTTGTGCTGGGACGAGGGTCGTCTCAGTTGTTAATCGCTTTTTGTTATTGCAAAGACACAGAAGCCCGTGCGCTGGCCAAGGAGAGACAGAAGAAAGACAACCACAATCTAAGTAAGTCTTTCCCTTAGTGTCTACCACCTTTTCATATCACATGCCTTTAGAAACATATGTGCGCGCGCACACACACCGTTTTCTGTGTCTCGCAGAAGGAGTTTTACACAGCCTTATGCTGATTCAGCTGACACAGTGCAACTAGTGAGTGGATGGTTAACCTGGTCATTTCTGCTGTTCTGGCACTTGAGTGTAATTGCCTGTGACTGTGTTCCACAGTCTATCTCGCAACAGTTCCCTTTTTGACCACTTTTCTTGCCTTTAACTCCTGTATTTTTGTCTTCATAATGTATTTTTCTCTCCCCACTTTTTTTCTTCCCACTTCTTCTGCCTCATGTCTCTTCTTTTTTCTTCAACAGTTGAAAGGAGGAGAAGATTCAACATCAACGATCGTATCAAAGAGCTGGGCACCATGATCCCCAAAACCAATGACCTGTAAGTTGCTTTTGCTGCACTGTGTTAAAAATGTTAAGATAAAATGTTAAATGAAATCCGTCTCTGCCACTTGTGTGTGAACATCGCCTGTGTGCACTTTACTGTGTGTGAACATCGCCTGTGTGCACTTTACTGTGTATGAACGTTGCCTGTGTGCGCTTTACTGTGTGCATAGTGATGTCCGCTGGAACAAAGGCACTATATTGCGGGCATCTGTTGATTACATCAAACGCATGCAGAAGGATGTGCAGCGGACCAGAGAGGTAGAGAACAACTTCAAACGAATGGAGATGGCCAACAAACAGTTGTTGCTACGTATTCAGGTAACACACACTCACATGCAGAAACACACAAACATAGCAAGTACATTGATAGTGATGATGGTGCCCTCCAAAAACTGTCTACAGGAGCTGGAGATGCAGGCACATATGCATGGCCTGCCCAGCACCTCCCCCTCTGGCCTGAACCCAGCTGATGTGATGTCTTATATAAAACAAGAGACCAGCCCAGAGGAGAACCTTTCTCTCTCCCAAGTTCAAGTCCACCACCATCCCCAGCACCTACCCCAGAACCAGGCTCAGCACCAGGCCCAGCAGCACCACTTTTTCCCACAAAACCACCTCCACCCTCAGGGCCATGTTCAACCTCAGCCCAGGCAGCTGCCATCGCTGTCCCAGAACCTCCAGCCACCTATCCAGTTCCCAGCTGTAGGCAGCTCCCAGCCCTTTGACTATGCCCAGTCGCTGGACTTGTGCGATGGGATACCCGGCTTTTCAGACGGCATGTCAGGGCTGGGAGACCTGGGCGGACTGGATGTCCAGGGAAGGAGAGGCGAGCTGGGCTTTCTGATGATGGATGAGCCCTTATCTCCTATGGGTGGAGACCCGCTGCTCTCTGCTATGTCCCCCGAAGCCTCGGTCGACTCCAGCCGCAGATCCAGCTTCAGCATGGAGGATGGAGACATACTGTAGACACATGCACTCATACAAACACAAGCACACATACAGAGGGTGCAGTAAACGGCTTAAAACCGATGGTACATCGACACAAACTTTGCAGCATCCACAACAAAAAGAAATCAGCTGTCAGAGGTCACATACTCACAAAGCACACACCCACAGCATACAGCACGTATTATACACAATCTGAACATGCACGTATGACAGTCATTTGAGGTACAGTTATCTGTTAACAGAACAAGCAGAAGAAAGTACGCGACATTCACAGTGGAAAACAGTGTATAGTGCAACCACTGCCACTGGCACACATACAGGTTTGTGAGGAAAAGTGAGCAGCATGAAACAGTGTCAGGTCAGGAGTTATAGAGCACACTTTGCCTTGTTTCCATAAAGGTGCCTCTGAATCATAATTAAACAAGGGACAAAAACCAGCAGTTAATTAGATTGAAGTTATCAGATACAAGGACAACGAAGTGCATGGTCTCACTTGATAGAGGACAAGTTATTTTCCCCTTTACATCAGCCTCTTTTAGTAACTGTAAATGATTGAATGATGGTGAATAAAATGGAAATAGCTTTATGGTCCTGCATGCATAACTTATCTTCAGGAGATGCAGTCCAGTCACTTGATTCTGTTCCTCAGTCTGCTTTTCCACAGTTAGCTTTAGCCTCAATCATTAGCTGTGTGCACCTGCTAAGCTGAAGTGTATTTTCAAAGTGGACATTGTAGGAGGCGGATGTTCCAGCTTTCAGCAAAGCCCTTCCCATTTATTGCATCTACTTCACTTCTGGATGCAACTGTCTTCTCACAAACATCTACACACACACTGCTGTCCCTCAGTCTCCACACCTTTAATACCAACCAAATCTGCGGTATGTCAGAAATACTCAGGAACTGTAACAGAATATATCATTTTTAAGCAGATGGTAATCTGGAGTGTGTCAGGGCCATAACCCCCATCAGTGTGCCTTTTTCATTCTAGCAACTCTTATCAAATGCATGTTTTTATAGGTTCCATAGGTCATAAGGGTTTAGACTGAATATTGAATTCAGTTATGCCTGTAAATACTTTGTGTGCATTTGTACCAGCTATACCTTTGACAATGCTCTCACTAAGTGTCTTTGTACTAGAAGTACAGCTTGAAGGAAAGGTACCGTAAAGTAACAGGGTTTGATGCTAGTTTGTCCCAGCAGGCAGCAGCAGTAATCTTCACATTACATTAGCACACACGTCCTTGTATTCACACTGTCACCAACAGGCACTCATTAAACATGCAGATTCTCCCCTAATACACCCACATGCATTATAGTGCTCCCATACATACAGTACAGTCAGCAAGTCTCCTGTGCTTCAGTCTCGCCCTTGATGAACTGAAAGAAGCTGCCAGCTGCTGAGGTGAACTTCAGGCCTGCAGTTCAACCTGCTGCTGGAGTCTGTTATCCCAGGGCTGCTGTTGTTGGAGCAGGCTGAGGGGGACCCGAGTTGGATCTTTGCTGTGGTAGGCCTGGGGCTTGGCTTTAATTTGTGATAGCTTATGATCAGTGCTGATTAAGGTAGAAAAAATAATGAATGGTAATTTTTTTTTTTTTGATCAAAAGATGTTTGTATTCTTTATTATAGTTTGTTTTTAACTATATCTCCCAAAGCACTGCAAACTGTTATTGTATTGACTTTGTACATGGAAGAATTGTGGAATAAGATTTATTTCAAATGTTTTATGCCACTAAGCCACTCAAATGTATTTTATTTGTATTTGTTGTATTGCTTTTATTTCAATTTTATTCCAAAATTAGTCTATCTTGTCGTCAGAGCCATATTCTTGGAAGTACACTGTAATGTGCCAGTAATGTTTCATTTGGGGATGGGGCAGCCATTTTTAAACTTCAAGTAAAGTTTGAGAGATGAAGTGTGTGTACATATATGTTGCCATTTTTATATAATTGGGTTTTTGTTTTTCTCTGTTGCAATTTTAAAAATTTATGCCAGACATAAATGAAAGTTTATTCTTGGATTTGATTGAATTCAAATTGCTCATATAATGAATGTAAGGTTTACCAGGAGTCCTGGTCACAGGTTGGTGTTTTCTCCACACCTCCCTTTCTCCCTAATTTTGGTTTCTATGGAGACCAAAAATGTAACATGTCACATAAACTCTGGCCTGAGGAGCTGCCATGGTGACTATGTGTTTGTCTCTGTCTGTCTCAGTCTTGTGCCTTTGCCTTATCAGCCACAGTTTGATTGTTGTACTGGCACCCAGCAAACACTCCGCAGAGCTGCTCAGGCCTCCTTTACCCATCCTCTAGAGGGCGCTCTACAGGGCAAACTACACAGGAAAACGTGGGTTTGATTTTACTGATATGTTTTGCCAGAGTCCATTCAATTTTAATTTTTTTTTTTTATTACTGATTTGAAAGATCAATGTTTGTGTGTGTATGCGTGTGTTTTTGTGTGTTGTGTACATGTGTCTTTGAATGATGTGGGGACAAAAATGTTGCTTCACATAGTCACATGTTTTTACATTGATTTGCTGCAGAGGTAACATTCACTTGTAAAAGGATTTTGTGACATCACAACTGACTAGTATGTGGCTTACACAAGCATGATGTGGAAACCAAATCTCACGCACATGCACTGAGATTTTCCCATGAATTAAAATGTATATGTGTCTAACTACTTAAATGTTTGTGCAAATGTGTTAGGGATTATGCCTCATTGTCTCTGATGCCTATGTGGGCAGATGGTGGATTAAATAAACCTAGTAAATATTAGTACTTTTTGTTATCCACCAGGGGGCACTAAAGATTTGCATTTCAGAAGACCATCTTCTGTCTCCTTAAACTTTGTTGTGATATTACTGTCACAGCAGTTACAGAAAGGACTGCTCGGCCATGTAATTAACCTTTTTTTTTTTTTAAGTACTCCTTAAGAACCCAATCTCATTTTTGCTTGTTCACAAAAAATGGAAAGAGAAACTGATGCATAGTATGTTTTTTGTGAAGAAAACCAGCAGCAGCTGTTGGACATATTGATTGCTTTTTTTTTTTTTTTGTTTTGCTCTGGTGAATTAAACCTTTTTAATAAAATCTCCCGATAAACAGTATACCACTTCCATTATCTGTATTCAAAAACAAAGTGTGTTCTCAGAGGCTCATATTTCATTTGCTTGACTTTTTGTTAACCTATTTTTCAGCTCTTTC